CGCAAAAGTAGTGGCTACACTCCAGCACACTAAATCCCACTCTTAGTATTTGTATAGGTTCAAGAAAACGGAAATGTTCAATTTATGCAGTTTGTTAGTTCCGTCCATTGTTTTAGTCGATCTCACAGCCCTTTCTCTTTATGAGCGAAATCGGTTTTAACATGTTTGAGATTCAGAGTTTTCAGTGAGCAGTCAGTTCATGCAGAACCATGAAATGAAGTCTTTTTTTTCCGCTTTAGTCTTGTCTCTTTTTTCATTCAAGACTTGTTTTTATTGTCTCTTTTAGTCTTGCCTAATAAATTCTTACACCATGATGTTCATTTTTTAAATCTTTGCTGCAAGTTTATTGTGCAAAGAGAGACCTGAAGGATTGGAGTATCGACAAAGAGCTAGCTATGGACTGGGGTGCGTGAAAGCTTGCTATCCATGTGCCAGAGCCATGAGTTGGTTGCGAGATCTTATGGGTTTCACCTCTAGCCTACCCCAACTTGTTTGGGACTAAAGGCTTTGTTGTTGTTGTTGCTGCAAGTTTATTGTGCAAAACAACATAGCAGAAAACATGCATTTTGTCACCAACAGTTTAATGCATATGACCACCAATGTTTTTCCTCTTCAGTTTGTCATTTCATCAATCAGAATTGCTGTAGTGTTTCCTCTTCGGTTTGCAGCCTTGTGCTATACATGTCGCATGCGCTCACATGAATATCTGCGACTTAAGACTTTAGACGCTTAGCCTGCTTGCCGCCTCCCTTATCTTTAACCAACTTCTTATTCATTTTTTCGACTTTGTTTTGCCCTGATTAATTGTTTGTGCAAGCAAAAAATAAAATAAAAAAACATGCTAAAGAACGTAGTGTCACCACGGTATGCTGAATCGCTGCTCCATTGCTTCCACTAGTTCTTTGCCTCCGGTGTTGCTTCTGAGGCGATCATTGATGTGCCGCAACATCATGTTTATTGCCTTCTCAAGCGCATCTTTCACGTCGGCGGGATGCAGAATGCCACTTTCATAGGCAACAGTAAGCTCCTCCATGCTAAAAAACGTCGCACCACAATTCCCTTCGTTCCGAACCACCTCGAATTTTCCAAACCAAGGGAAAATTATACATCTTATGTACTCGAAGCAAGGGTTGCCTTTTGCGACCTTTGGAGGGCAGAAGGCTTTATTTATTTTGCAGCCGACGTTTTCCTCATCGTCCTCCATGAAGATGGCCCATCTGGGATCATTCCACGCCTCATGTTCCGGGTACTCGAGCAAATTAGGCGGCACGTTGTGGAATAGAGCAACCGGTCCATCTTTCATCTGCAGGCGGTTGCAGTATCGTCTGGCTAACATGTGGGCAACACGCTGATCTGCGTCGAGCAGCCATATGTCTGCCTGATGGTGAAACAGCACTATGCCGGCACACTGCAAGCAAGGATGGAATATCTCGGCAGGAGTGAAATCCCTAAACAAGTAGGGATCTAAGCTCCCATGGCCCCTCGTATCATCCGTGCGATGAACGCAGAGCGACTTTTTTATTCTTTTCGTGTCGCTTTTTCTGCCAACATCCATGACAAGCGGCCAGAACTCGTCCACGTGGCGGCTTATTTGCTCCGACAGCCACACGAGCTCGACCCTGTCGAGATCCATGCCGGCCGCTCTCCACATCTCAATGTTGTACAGGCCAACATCACGTACCTTACTCAGATCGCCACCGACCTTGCCACCGATGTGATGATCCATCCGAGCTAACCAATCCGCCATCAGAATTTTGACTTGGCAGCCCACTTCGATCATCTTGTTGACGTTGATCGCCATCGAGATCCCCTGGGTTACATGCATTTGCGGGGAAGGATCGCACCAGGCGTAGCAGACGGGGGCATCTTTCCCCCTAAAGTGCAGATCCCTTAGGCCTTGTTCGATTGAGGTGGTTTTTGAAGGGGAATGGCAGGGTTTAAGAGGGATTAGATCCCTACAAGGCAAAATCCTCTCCAATCCACTCCAATCCCCTTGGGAGGAGGATTAAATGAACAAGGCCTTAAGAGCATCCTGAGCCCGTGCCGCTTGACGCAGTCCTCGATGCTCACCAGCATGGCAAGCCTCTGATCAATGCTTGTGCCATTGCCCTTTGTAGGGTCAGCAGAATCACCAGCCGAATTCTCTGCAGTTGAGAAACAACTACGCGGAATGGCCCGGTTTGGTTCGAAGATGCTGAAGGGAGGAGCTCCTCTCCTGTTCGGAAAGGCGTCACAGCACCCGGGTGCCCTGACACCCGGTTATCCAGCGCGTCCTGTGTTTTGAAGATTCGTGTCGAGGACTTGACAGCAGCATGTCATTTGCGTTGCATGTTAATTAAGCATTCATTTTACAGAGTAGAACAGGGCTAGTCCTAGGCTGCGGAGACACGGAAGGTGGCTGCATGTCACGGACAGCGCCGTGGTAGCCTTGGCACGGAGGTCAGGCCAACTCCACCGCTCGACCCTATCCTGTCCGCCCCCGTCCGTTTGGGGTAAAAGGAACAAACGAGACGGCCCAGCGCGCGGGCGTAAACGGACTTTTGTCCGCTTTGTGTCCGCTTTCGACCCATCCCCGACCCAAATTTGCGCCGGTTTTGGGGTGAAACGGACAGCGCGCGGACGGGCGGGACGCGCGCGCTTGTCCTCCCCTGGCCCGCCTGTCGGTGGGAGAAACCAACCCCCCCCCCCAAGTCCATTTGGCGCCATTTTCCCCAAACCCTCCCACGTCCCTCCTGCCACCCCCTCTCTCCCCCGTCCATGGCCGACGCCCCGCCGAGTTCCGGCGGTCTGGCCGTCGACCCGACCGCAAAGGTGAACAAGAAGGCGCCAAGAAAGCCGCGGTCGGAGTGCACGCCGAAGGAGATCGCCAAGTTGGACGCGGAATCAGCGAAGAGGAGGGAACGGAGAGCGGCCGTCAAGATCAATGCCGCCGCGGCCAAGTTCGCCGCCCAGCGCGAGGAGCTGGAGGCCGCGCGGCGCAAGGCCGCTGCCGACGAGAAGGAGGACCTCGTCAACAAAGCGCACGCCATCCTCATGCTTGGCATGGGCCGTCCGGCGGGGTTCCATGCAGCGGCTGTCGGCCCAGGGAGCACAGGCTCGTCGGTCGCCCGGCCTACGCACTGCCAGTCGCCGACGTCGTGCGCTGCGCCCATGTCGCCCGGCTTTCCTCCGCCCAGGCACGACGGCCAGACCCGTTTCTCGGCATCGTCGGACGTGGGCTTGTTCGCGCCGTCCACACCACGCCCCGCGGCCGTCATCGACCTCAACGTCACGCCTGGGTCCAGCAGCGGCGGGCGGCCGTCCGTCGAGATGCAAAGAAAGCATGCGCGTGCACCGTTCACGGGCACCATGCCGGCCCCCCGCGTGTGTAACGCCCGGGTAATTAAGCTACAGTAATCCCCACTAATGATGCCACGTCACCTCTGTCACTGTAGTTAATCTCGGGTTAAATCAAAACGGATTCGAAATTCAATTCAAAATTATGATGGCAATAAAAGTTTTTCAAAAAAATCAAACTAAAATGTTTGGGGGTTGTCAAAAATTACAAGGTTAATTATGGTGGGGTGCACACATTTTTATAAAGTGCCTAAATATTTTAAAATGAAATAAAACAGAAGAGAAAATAAATTAAGAAAAGAAAAATAAAACAAAGGAGAG